CTATCGAGTATATCTTCGGGGTCGGTGGGCAGTATAGCGTCCAGAAGCGAGGTTGCATATTTAATAGCATCGGGGTTGAAAAACCCCGAAAGGCCAGCAGGAAACTCAACCAGTATGCTGTCATAGAAATGGTCTTCGTCTAAACTGTTCGGATCGATGTCTCCTAATTCTGCTACCGTGTTGCTAAGGAAGTCTTCTTGCTCCCCATGACCACTATCGTTCTGCGAAGGAGTCTCCCGAGTATCTGGACGAATTCCCTTAAGCCCAAAATGGGGCTCGAGGTACTGGCTTGAGAACGCCACTGCGGAACTCTGCTGATAATCTTCAAATACAGACTCCCCTCCTCCAGGTGAGAAGATTGAATTGAAACTACTAGATGGGGAATCGGCTCTGTTACCAGCTTCGAGCCATGGCCGTTTGGCTGATGAGTCTCCTCTTTTAGCCTGAGAGGCATATCTAGGGCTTGCTGCTCTCTCGTTTCGACTTCGTGACCGCCGCACACTTGAGTCAGAAAGCGACAGAAATGAGCTCTTGCGCGCAAGATTGGGGGTCGCTCGACTTATTGAGGCTTTCCAGGATGAGCCGGAACTCAATTCCGATTCCAACAACGGCGCCGGAGGCATGGGCACACATTGTGCAGGTGGATCGGTAGGTTCTGGCAAGTATTCGCTCAAGTGCTCTGGAATAAAAAGAAACGGTGTTCGATTTGTGCGCTGATCTTCCTTTCTAAGGAGCTCTTGTTGCAGTCTCCGCTTTTCAGAGAAATCGAGATGTCGTTTGATTGAACCTAGACGGATATCAGTTTGGAAATAGGCATCCGTCTCCACCGGGTGGTGATGTCGCGATTTATGTCTCGCAGCAGACTCGGCATCGACACAAGATACCCGAAGATTCGGAACCAAAACTTCGAGTTTCTTTGAATAGTGTGATCGAGCCCAATCATTAAACGCCACATCAATATCATCAGTTGAGATAAGAAAGGCAGCCTCGTCGACGTGGAGCCACAATTTAACGGTTTCAACGCTGACTCGTGCAAAGGTGACATCGTCAAACACGATTGACGAATAAGGAATCAGTGCATTTTCGACGTCATCGAAGGTCAATGCGAGAGCGGAAGCTCCGTGTGCAAGGGCTGACAGAAAATCTGCGGTTAACTCCCCTGAAATAGCGCCCACATTAACGTCCCAATTGCACAGATAGGTTGGTTCCGCAGGAGGAAGACCCATTAAGCGATGCCCAAAGACGCGCGCACCGTCGATGAACATCTGAGTATTAGAATACGAAACGTTCGGGGAGTCTAACGCAATCTCCGGGCTGCCCAGGGACAAGCTCACAGGACTTAGAGAGAGCTCCATATCCATAATGTAGTTTGTAATCCGCAAATCTAGAGATACAGTTGCCAGTTCTGCTTGGACATAGCGACTGGAGGAGTAAATGTTTGTAGGAATCATGACATGAGGGTTGTCTGCCTTAATGCTAAGAATGATATCGGTGTCGTTGGACTTTTTGACTGGGGCCTGGTCGATGGTAGAATTGAGCTCTTTCCGTTGTGATTGATCTTGGTATTCATCCAACGTATGAAAATGAACATAGTCGCCAAAATAATTATCCTTCAATAAGAGGATATACCTAATGACAAACCCATAAATATAGGCATGTGGTTCACGCCCATAGATATTCAGCGTAAGGGTGTCGGTATTGGATGGAGATGTCGTCGTGTAATAATGGTATTTGCCACCAAGCTCGAGGCCATGTACACGGCCCAACTCATCTGACTTGACAAAAGTGGCCTGGGTGTTCCATTGAGGTGTGTGGAACATTAGATCAAGAATATCTGCTTTCACATCGAACGGTATCACGTTCTTTTCAGGACGGTATTTGTCGATTGGTATTGATGTTTCCGCGGTCAGAAGAGGGCTTGACAAAATAATATATCCATTGTCATCATGGTTGGTTGGATTATCAATAATATTGCAGTCGTTGACATTGAGATAGAATTTTGGTTTGGCGAGCTTCAAGTTGATACGGTATATGAATGGTGTAAAGGTGAGATAGTCGGCAGGTGGGCCAGCTGCCCAATCATTAATCAGGTCTGTAAGGAGGAAAACATGATCCCGGAGAATATACAGTCTAAGGTCGTCGAAGTTTATGTCAAACTGCCAAGTTCTCAGGGTATTCCAAGATAGAGGGTTGGAAAGGTCGCATGACACTTTGAGTGGACCGGACTGCCAGAGGATGTCATTGTTCACAGTGCTACGGAGTTCGGTGGATCGCAGGTCTAGGTCCAGACTGTTGGAATAGCCAGACGTGGAAGCGACCATATCCATTAGGTACGATACCGTTGAGTCCTTCGCAACGGTGATTTCCAAGTACGCCGCCTGGCGCGCTGGTGCCGCTTCAGCCTTGTTATCCTTCTTCGGTTTGCTTCGTGTCTTGGCTTTGTTTGGCTGCTTAGGTTGCGGCTCTTGTCCACGCCATCGCCAATTCTTCGACTCCTCTCGGAATGGTATTCTCATAACAACTGTGTCCTCAAGGTCGACAAAGAGCTCAAATTGAGTCGGTACCCTCCAAGCACCAACTTCAAGGGGAAGGGTTGGAGATGCATCTTTGCAAAGACTGGGGAAAAAGACTCGTTGTAAGTCAGCCCTCAGTCGATCTGTCCAGGGTCCATAGCTAATGGCACCTCCCTGTATAGAAAAATGCATCCCCCAAGCCGGAGGATCAACACCATTGATGTACGGCGAGAGCTTAGATGCGTTGCGTTGCTGAACCGCCTGGGCGGTCACCTTCCCAACCGAGTCCCAATATATGGTCATGGTGGCAGCTGGGGAATCAAGAACCGTGGTGTCTGCAGCATACTCGATAGATGACCACCGGGCCATGTCATCTTCATCCTGATCATCTAAGTACCTCGATAGGCCCTGCCATTGCTTGGATCCGGGTACTCTTGTTCGACCCCTTCCGATCAACTCATGCTCTTCGGATGATGGTTCAAGAACAGCAGGGCGGAAGCAAGAAGTGATCCTCCTGAAGATATGGGCAAAAATAAATGCTTTGCGGAAGAAAACATCCATAATATGAGGCTCCTGGATCTCGCCTGCGTTTGGATGTGTGGCTCGGGACGCCTGATCCTCTTGATAGTCCTCGTTATCCTTCATTTCAATGACGGGATGTTCAAATTGAACTTTGAAAGTCTGGCGATAAGGATCAACCGTCTTGGTTTCGGATGCGTCAATATCGGCGTTTACTGCATCCGCCTTGACAATAAGCACACCCTTGGTATTCTGGTTGCCTATAACAGCCGCCGCCTTTCGGCAATTGACATGAATCGGAAACAGCTGTAATAAGAAGGGAAGATCCGACGCTTTCTTGGGTTTAGTTTCTTGAGCTTCGGAGCTCCCAGAAACTGAGGTGGAGCGTTCCCTGGGTGGCCTTGCACCCTCTAACGATTTCCCGTTCTCTGCCCGAGCCCCTCCATCCAACGATGTATTATGGTTTCCTGGTACAATCAAGGGATCGTGGCCGCCGTTGGAGCCTCGCCTTGGGACACGCGAACGAACACCAGACTTGTCCTGGTCGCCATTATGCTCGCTTGAGGAAGTGCGTCCTTCTGGGTCAGGAGGCGCAGAATTCGTGAGGCCGGAAAGTATGGAGTCATATGCAGGGCCGCGGTTGTAGACGAACCATTCCACACCAATGAGATCGACATTGATTCGGCAGGGCAGTTTTGAGTTCTTATCGACGCTCGAGGTCGAAAGATCCGCAGGCTGTCCGTCGCTAAGGATGTCGACTTCGCGCACGTGTCGAAACCAATATCGCCATGTCACATAGCCGCTCTGGACGAGGAATGTCTCGTTGGGCCCATGATAGCGCAGGCCAGTGAAGAAGATTCGACCACCCAACAGGGATATTTGCAAGGCGCTCACGTCGAAGTAGACTCGGTATTGGTGCCATGTCCACGTGCGAATGCCGTATGAGGCGATCGAGGCGAAGAGTCGGTTGAAGTAGTTGAGGAAGAAGATGGCCAGTATGGAACAAATTAGGAGGAAGATGACGAATTCACTACGATGAATCGATAGTTAGCAATGCTCAGCCTCCCAACATCGACTATACAAACTAATTGAAGGGCGGTATCGGATCATCTCGAACAGATATGGCCGCTTCCGCCACGACCGACATCTTGCTAAGCTCCAGGTATAGCTCCCGCGAATTGCGAAGCAGCAGTCACAGTCACGCCCGGGTCACTGACAGCTGCATAGCCCCATGTCTTGTCGAAAATGGCCAGTCGAGGTAAGGCGAGGGCCGCGGGTGTTGAATGGCAGAGAGAAAGCCAGCATGAGGTCGACGAATTGCCTTTCGACCATATTAATCGTACCAGGTCCGTCGTAAACAATCTCCTGAGCTTCCCAGATTACCACTGCTTATAGTAGCCAGCCCTGCACTACACGACAGTGCTTTAGGCATGGTGGCTGCTGAAAACTGGGGAAAGCATCCACTAGACGAGCTTCTTTCCAGGGGCCTCCAGGCTAATTACTGCGCAGACGTGCAGACCTTAGACTGGCCGCTAGCGCATCTGCAAGAGCTCCGCCGGGTACTTCTGCCCGGGATCGTCAAACGCACATGCAAGCTCCAAGAAATTACGTATGGCATTCACTGACGCCTGAGAAAAAGTGGCGGACTCATTGGGCCTAGCAGCAGGAGCAGCACAACACCTGCCTGCCAGCTCAAACTAAACCTCCGGACCGTCTGTCCATTATTCATGACTTCTTGCCTGGTCACACGCTCTCCCCGCGACGCCCTCCTAAAAGACCACACAGCTTTGCGCCCCTTTCTCCACGGAAAGTGACGCTGCTGCTGTTGAGCTCCGACCAGGGCCACCATCCCAACGCCCACATCGTGCAGGGAATACTCTTCTCCGGCATGCTTGCATAGGCCACCGCAGGCGCAACGCGGAACTGTACTCTCGCTCCTATCACTGCCGCCGCGCTACTGCCGACAAGATGGTCGAAAGCGGAGGAACTGGTGGGAAGTTCGCGGCCGCCATCACCGTGGTAGCAGGTGTCGCGTCGCTGGTTGCTACTCTAATGAGTGTTGTGTAAGAAGTTCTGGCCCCAAAGCTGAAGCCCGCAAATGCTAAGAACCCAACAGTTCCATCCTCCTCCAGGTCAAAAACTACCGAAAGCCGTTGCTGCAACGATATGTCGTCCGAATCCTTCTTATGGTGCCTATATACTCCATTGCCTCATGGTCGAGCATGGTGTCCACCGCGGCCGCACAATTTCTTGATCCAATTCGCGACATCTACGAAGCCTTTACAATATACACTTTCTTCCAATTACTTATCAACTACCTCGATGGGGAGCGAGCTCTCATCATCATGACACATGGCCGGGCACCGGTTCAGCATCTGTGGCCCCTAGACCATGTTCTATCGAAAGTCGACATCTCAGATCCACATACATTTCTCTCCATCAAACGCGGTATCTTGCAATATGCCTGGCTCAAACCGATCTTGGCTTTGGCCGCCATCATAATGAAGGCAACCAACACATATCAGGAAGGATATTTGGGGCTGAACTCGGGATACATGTGGAGTGGGATCATCTACAATATCAGTGTCACCGTCAGTCTTTACTCGCTTGGACTCTTTTGGGTCTGTATGCACAACGACCTCAAGCCGTTTCGCCCAGTTCCCAAGTTTCTATGCGTCAAGCTCATCATCTTTGCATCCTATTGGCAAGGGTTTTTTCTGTCTATTCTCGTCTTCTTGGGCGCGATTCCAGATGTGCCTGAGTACACACCAGACAACTTGGCTGCTGCCATCCAGGATGCCCTTATTTGCATCGAAATGCCAATCTTTGCCATGGCACACTGGTATGCTTTCTCATGGCAGGACTTTGCCGATAACAGCATACAATCTGCGAGGATGCCACTCCGACATGCACTTCGAGATGCGTTCGGCCCTCGAGATTTGATCGAGGATTCGAAACAGACTTTCGGAGGTGAAACTTATGGCTACCGTGCTTTTGATTCGGGAGATAAGGTTATAGCCCATGAAGACTCCAAATCCAGAATCGCCAGGCTGCGGGATGGTATGCGATATGAGAGGGGAGGCAAAGGAAAGTACTGGATCCCCAAACCCGGTGAAATCAACTCAACCACCCCGCTTCTGGGGTCGGATGGCGCAGGGTCCAGCAGCCGCCCGGACCAAATTAACGAGAACACGCATGGTACCTTCGAAGAACCACATATCGATGAGGAAGACGAAGAACTGTACGACTCCGCCCGTGAACTAGAGTACGGTGATTGGAATGTAAGTGACGGTAGAACTTGACTATTGTTGCGTCAATATACTAATGCAGTGACAGTATCCTGTTATTACAGCCAGCCAGCCCCTAGGAGACAGGTATTACGCCTCGAGAAGTTACTATCATAACCGGTCACCGGTCCATATCCCACCTGCAAGATCGCCCTCTTTCTCACCCCCCTACTCTCAACAGCAAAACGTCGTTCCAGAAACAGTTGTTCCTGTGAAGAAAAAGAAAAAGAAGGTGGTCAAGCACAAGGCTCCCGATACCTCGAAATTGCATTTGGGCGAAGAAAGAACTCGATCACCGCCTATTAGTGGAATTAACAATGATGGCATCGCCGAAACCTCCAGGCCTGCCAATCCTGAGCCCCAAGCCATTGCCCCGGCTGTTCAGGAAGAAGAATCGCCCGAGGATGATTACACTTCGAGATATAACGTTTCTCAGACAGAAGAGTTTCGCAATGTCTGGGGTGGTGATGAAGAATCTAGATAGAAGAGTCCGCATCTGTCTGCATTATTTTCGTGTTTTCCTTACGGTGTATATATGATACAGATGAGATACCCTTTCGTCGGCTATCAGAAGTTTCTCTGACATAGCGTGGAGTTTGGGCCAGAACTGCTACATAAACCTGGTCTATCGCGTGGCTGCTAGCTTTGACCGGCCATATCTGTTATTTTGGATACTAAAAAATATGTTCATTGTTATTGTTCATCAGTTCTAAAGCAATGCTCGCCGCTACTATCTTACCCTATGCGTCCCCCTCATCAACCCATTCCCGAATCAGCATCGCCGCCCCATCAACCCCGAGACTGGCTGGGGTTGGAGGGGTTGGGCCTGTCGTCCAATTGCTCGGTGTAGCACCCAGCTTGAAGTCCAGTGTGCCGCCCTTGGCAAAAATATCATACCAGCTCAGCCAGCTCTTGTTCCACTGCTTACCGTTCACCTTGAGAGACTGGACGTAGAATTTCTCCTCGCTGCCACCCTCGCTCGTGATCTTGAGCGTCTTGCCTCCGCCCAGATCGATAGTCACATCGGAGAACCAGGGCGATCCGATGAAGAAGACGGGCTGGCCTGTCATGGGGAAGAGGCCGATCATGCTCCAGAGAAGCCACGACTCCATGGCACCGGCGTCGCTGTTTCCTGGGAGCCCGGCAGGTGTCGGGCTGTAGTATGATTTGGCGATGAAGCGGCTGCGCTTGACGTTGAGATCCTGGCGGTTGACGTAGCTGTAGAGGTAGGGGGTCACGAAGCTGGGTTCGTTACCCGGGTTGAAGAGGGTGTTGCCGAAAGCGCCGTTGCCGCTGTAGACGCCGGGGGTAAAGGTCATCTCTAGGCGCTCGGTGAATCTCTGCTCGCCATCGCAGTAGTCGATGATGGTCCCGAGATCGTGGTGAGCGTTGAACGAGTACTCCCAGGGCAGGCCTTGGTAGTAGTAGTCACCCCAGTAACAACCGCCACAGCTAATGGGGTTCTGGCTGATGAATCCTTCGACATCTCGGGGTCCAAGGAAGCCGGAGAAGCCCAGGGCTGAAAGGTCTGGGTTCCAGTGGTTTCGCCAGTTCAGCGACCGGTTGAAGTATTTCTTGTATTTGTCCGTGTCTTCCAGACCAAGCGCGACTGAGGCGAGAGAAAAATCATTGACCGAGCTAGATTACCCAAGTAAGTAATACTTCAGAATCACGAGTACGGGGGTCCCAATAGGCTTACTACTCAACGGCACGACTGACAGATCTGCCATATTTTGGTGTGATGTATCCATGCTCGTGCCAGTCAGGGAGAGCACTTCGACCTTCCTGAGTTGCGCCAGTGGGATCACGCGGGTCATTATTGGTCACGGGAACTTCTTCGGCGTTCTTAACCATGGCCGACAGAGCATCGTACCAGTTGACCTTGCCTCTGACGCCCTTCAGAAAGGCATCCGCGAAAACGTTGTCGCCGTTGGTGCCACCCTGGACAGCGCCATTGTGGAAAGACGACCGGGCATCCGAGACCCAACCCTGGTGCCTCCAGATGTCGATCATGGAGCGGAGGAACTCCTCGTAGTAAACGGGCTGCAGGATATGGAGAAGGGGGGTAAGAGACCGATACTGGTGGTTTATGTTAGCGAACTGATACCTCACAATATATGTCACTGATTATCTGGTACTCACAATGTCCCAGAAAGTGAAGATGTCATCATAGTAAGGCTCTGATGATTCCCAGAGGGGATTCTCTCCAGTCTTATTTGTTGGAAGAAGGTGCATAAAGTACAATGCCGTGTAGAGCTGGTTCAGCTTTGTCACATTGGTTTCGCTTGTTGTGACTTTGCTGAACACCTCGGAGTTCCAGGCTTCTCTGGTCCCGTCACGGACTGTTTCAATCGAAGTCCCCTCCGGAATTTCAGAATTCACGTTGGAGCAGGCCTGATTCGCGGATATGAAAGATACGCCGACACGAGAAACAACCGATGTCTGGTTGAAACTGAACACGGCGCCCAACCTTGCGGTCTTCGACTCGTGAGATGCCTTTTCGGAGTACTCTTCAAGGTTGGCAGTCTTGAAGTCTTTCCCGAGGAATGTCTTGTATCGCGACTCCGTGTCAAAGTAGCCACAGAAGTACACCGTCCACGGCCCAGCCCTGTTCCATCCCTGTCTTAAATGAGCTGAGTTTCATCAAAAGCGCCATCTCAGTCAAGGTTAGTCAACTCACATTGTCATACGTTCCGAAGCCGGTGTAGTAATGCTTGCCAGGATCCTCCTCAAGATGAACGCTGATATTCCCTCCCAAGAAGTGCTGCTCCAAGCCCTGACCTCGGTACGAGGATAGAACATGGGACACATCAACAAGCACATTATAATTCTCCTTTTCCTTGGGAAAGGTGTACTTGAAAATTCCGGCCTTCTTGGAAGCACTCATCTCTAGAACAGTTCCAGATCCTAATGATGCCTTGTAGTATCCAACCTCCGTTTCGTCAGCGCTTGCCCGAGTGTCGTTCATCTTGTCACTCAGGGGGTTCTCAATCGTGCCCACGACGGGCATTTGTGACACCACCCCATACTTGGGGGCGCCGCCAGTTCCGCTCTCGTGAAGCATAGTGAATCCTGTAAAGTTTCCAGTCGGTTGGTATCCTGAATAGGAGTCCGATCCGGTGTACAGATCAGGGCCAAGCTTTACCATTCCCAGTGGCCGTGCCACACCCGGGAAGGTGTTCCCGCCATTAATGGAACCGGTCTGCACGATATTCCGATTAACTGCTTGACCTTACCTGGGCAGAGGCCCGGATGTCGAAGTAGAAGCCTATGAGCACATATGGCAACAATCAACTTACATCAGTCAGCGCATAAGAATAGAGGTCATCATTCGCCGCTGCCAGACCAGCAACACTAGCCAAGACAAACTGTTTGGCACGCATGGCTTAACGCTAAACAATTATTGGATACTGATTAATGTCTGAAGGTATCTACACTAAAGACATGGGGTCAATCTATCTGCCCTACGTCCTCCTTATATATCCGGATCCTCCCCGAAGGAGACGTCGTGTACGCTGGTTCCTGACTAGCGACAGGAACCCGGGGTATAGGAAGTGTAGTGGAGGCTGCCAGAATGGTGTAAGACCTAGCGCAGCTTGCCATACTGACTCGAGGGAAGATGGAGGGGAGCCGAGGTGGATCAAACGTGCTAGATCCCACCAGTGTGAGTGGCGGAAGTAAGAGACTGTCAGGGTTCAGCCTTGGGGAAAATGAAGAAACCCTACAGGTTGCCATAAAAGTAAGTATGTTAATCGCGAATCCCCGGACACATGTAGCTGGTAGGTCCCATCTGCTGTGGGACAGATGACTGGCAACTCGGCCAGATGCTCTTCTAGAGGCAGCTGATGCGGACCTGTTCACGAGCACAGGGTTTCGGCCTTTCACAGCCAGGAGAATAGGGAAGGAGGGGCGCTTTCACTAAATTGAGAGGCTTAAAAGCGCAGGCAAGTAGCGAGGTGTCTTGGTTGCGAGTCATGCTGTAGCACTATCGTATCTCGCTCAGCCATGACACGGCATAGCTTTTGATCTAAGAATATTGGATTGTTGAGCGGAACTCAATCCTTTGACAGGAGCCAGCAGTGGGAAGCTAGAGGGCATTTGACGATCCTCTCACTTTGCTCCTGTTTATCAATCGAGCTCTCCCTGTGCTCTCGGCTGATCGCGCGAGGAACGTCCAATCAGCCAGAAGCAGTAGGTGACATTGCGATGGGATCCCTGTATGTTCAGTCAGCGACGAGATGGTCGTCGCGAATAGCGTCATGCAGAGGCAGCGCGTGTGATTCCTCCTGACCTCGAGTGGTTCTTGGTACCTGTCGAATGCGACCCACCAATGTGACGATCCCACTCTCTCCATGGAGGGTAGGTAATAAGAAGGCGCATTATTTGTGAGCTTGAAAAGCGATCTGCAGGTCCATCTTGGAGAACTGCTCAAACCCCACCGAATCCCTGCAGTGCATCCCTCTACCCAGAACAATGGAACTGGACGTCGTGCGCTCCGACAGCACGGGAGAATACTGCGCGCATTCTCCTTCCCGATCAACGGACCAGAGTGAATAGCAGATAGGCAGGAGGCAAATAGCGCATGCCAAGGTCAGGCCTCCTGCTCGTTGTGTTGTGAGCACGTGCAGTATACATGCACGTCACTTTTCAAATGGACGCCTACCTAACGTGCCATTAATCCCCCGTGCCTGACGAGCATGAGGGCGAGCTGCTGCAGTGGTCACGCGATATCGGAATTTGAAAGCGAACTAGAAGTCGCCGGTGCGCGTTTTAACGAGTCGTGGATGCGGATAGCTCTTGGCCGACAGAGATGGTTTTTTTCGTCCGTCCGGTCTGTCCGCATGAAGCAAGTGCCAGTTCACTACCTACGCAGGTAATTCCCTATCAACAAGATGAAAGTAGCAGGTCAATTGTGGACAATATTTGCTAACAGTCAATGCAATGAGTTCCGCCACGAGTAATTAGACTATTCGGCTCTCCCCGTTGCTACTCCAATTCTACCACATTTGGACACTTTAGAAACAATGATTCATCCATCGTCTTTCAGGTACGCCAAAGCTTGTTTCCAAGGCTGAAGCGCATCTAAGTTAGATCTCGGCCAAATGCGGTAAGACGCCGTAGATCCACAACATGGAGAATGGAGCGGCAAATCTTTGATCCGCTAAGCACACTATCTAGGCGGTGTGAAGAATTTCGTCGGTGAGAGAGGGCAGAATCAACAAATCCATCACCCCAAATTCAATTCAATACGGCATAATAGAGGGGCTTGTTTCCCTGCGATCCTGCCGTACCTGACATCACACATTGGGAGTCCCGAGGCATTGACTTGCCCTGCGTATTCTATAGTGAGGCTGCAAGCCGGGCGCTTGCATCCTTGCTCTACCTGTCGCAATGGGTCGCAAGCCAAACCCTCTGATTCTGGAGTACTTCGTGCGCGGGCCGAAGCTCAACGACAACAGCAACCGCTATCCTCACACCTGCAAACAATGCGGCGAGAACTTCCCAAAGGGTCGCATTGACAGTCTGACAACGCATATCACCAAAAAATGCCCGGCCATATCCGAACCCGACCGCATGCGAGCTTGCCTAGAGCTCCATGGCATTACGAATGCCAGGACCTTGCCCGATCGAAACCTTCTGCAGGCAAACGGCCACCAAGAGAACGGACAGTCTGCCCATCTCCCAGAATTACCGCAGGGATGGAGCGCATTGGAGACTCTTGCCGAGGCGTCGCGCCAGGTCGATCTGAACGAGAACAATCGTGGGCAAAAAAGCCCAGACGCAACCTCCGCCGCCAATCCCCCCGCCGTCGCCAGCACCACAACCATGAACAACGAATTTTGCACCGAGCGCTTCGAAGTCCAAGAGCAATTCACCCTTGACAACCCCCCAGTGAGCTATGATGCTAGAGCTCAGAGCATTAAGAGAAGTAAGTTGGCTATATTGTGTTTTCTTCCCCTGCCAGCTTCGCAAGCTAACAGAAGCAGCTGATCTAGCTACCCCACCACCGACCGAGTTATCACCAGAAGAGCGGCTGCAAGCATTATTGCCAGGTGGTTCCATTTCACCGGACGCTGCAAATATCTCCGTCGCTGTTGCAGCCACTGCCCGGCTCAACCCATCGTTCTTAGACCCTCAACTTGTCAACGGAGATCCTGTTCCTGTAGCCTCACCCCCGGTCACCGAAGATATCCAACCTCAAGAGGTGCTGCCTCTAGCAACCCCCGAACCGAATGCAGCACAGCCTTGGGGCGAGATGACATATCTTGCAAGCACACCTACTGCCCCGATAATGAACGAGATTCCCATAGCACCACATCCTCTTAACCGGGGTGGTGTTCGCATGGATACGAGCGATGGGTCTTTGAATGGCAAGCCCCGCCATGCTCGCGCAAGATTTACACCTGCTAGACGGAAGGAGGTTCAAGAAGTTCGAAAGATCGGTGCTTGTATTCGTTGTCGGATTTTGCGCAAGAACTGTGGCAGAGGTACCCCTTGTGATACCTGCCGCAAGGTGCTGGCTCCACGCGTATGGAGGACCGGGTGTGTTCGCACACGCCTCCATGAACAACTGGACTTATATTCTGCAGGCGTACAAGTCGTTCTTTCTCAGAATAGGATCAATCTTCTTAAGGAACAGCTCCATCCAATCAACAATGGAACGGTCATCGACATGTCGCATTATCCCGAAACAGAAATACACATCAGTGCGCCAACTTTAGTAGCCTTGCTTGAACCGAGCGAGAGCCAAGCCGAGATCAGGGGAAACAAGGATGCTTATCACCAGGTCATTATGATCGATCAAGATGCCGAGGATCTGCCTGACAAGGTGGAACGATACATGCGCGCTGTGCTTAATATTTTTATTGAGCGGGAACCATCCAAGTTCATGCGTGTCACTCTGGAAACTGCCCAGCAGCTTCTGTCGGACGAGAATGACGATCTCCTCAAAAAGGCCCTGGAGCTTTGGGGCCTCGTAGAGACCATTGATCGAGAGAGGCAGTGGACGATTTTGGAGAAACCTGGTGCGGAGGGCGAACAGCCGCGATGGATTAAGGAGTCCCAGAGCGGCAATGATGCTGACATTTATACTATGATATGCATGCAGCTGAACGCGGCAGCCGAGCGAAGAGCTAACAACACCTCAAAGAGTCTGCTCAGCCTCATGCACCGGCTTCTTCAAGATAGTAAGATCAAGATTGGGTTCAAGATGTTTCTGACAGCTCTGATTTTCCTCAATTGTGTTGAAAAGTCAACATGGGCCTTCAAAGCATGGGAGCAAGATCATTTACGACCTGGATGGCCCCTTGAGCGCGATCCAAGTGCATTCACTCAACAGGGTGGCAATTTAGCAGGACTTCTGAAGATGCTGTTGGCCATCCGCAAAGCTTTGCCTCAGACGATCCGCAACGAGGAGGGCAAGTTGGCAACAAAAGATCAAGACCCTGTCGTGTCAGCCTACTTTGAAAAGCTTGATCTAGATTGTAAGTCATCCCGCAAATTTTGCCCGCTCGCTCATTCCCACTGCCTTCTTTACTGACGTATTGTACCAAACAGATGATACCATTGCGGCCAGGCAGAAAGACTCGCAATTTTCGCCTGCTGATTCCCGTTCCTTGGAATTGACATTCTGCTCACACCTCCTTCTACCAAATGTCCCAGTCTGAGCCATGTGGATTTGCATACACGTTCAAGCATAAACACATTGGTCGACTTAGCCAAGCATAATGATGCGAGCGAGATTCTATTGAAGCCCAATATAGGGCTTGAGTTCCCAACGACGAAACAACAAAGATACACATACCCTAACGTTTGATGAATGCACGGACACGCATAACACGACGCTTCACGATTTGCTCTTTATCTTGATTCCCATTTTTCTCCTGCGGGACTTTTTTTTCATTCCTCCTCTTCTTATTACCAAAGTTCTCTTCTATCCTGCCCCCTTTTTTACGCATCGTCATTCGCCTATGGCGGGGCCCATTATGAAGGACGAATTCACGATATCATTTTAACCCAAAAGCCAGAGAAAGACGGAGGTGGAACTCCATTAGAGATCGAATTCTTTTACGCTCTGGCGTTTACACGGTAGACTTTTTGTTATTCTAAAAAAAAAAAAGGCAAGATACCTCACGGTGCGTGATGCGAACAAGCTGTTTGCTTGATGGTCATACTCAAAGAAAGAAAAGACGGGCATGGCAAGGGTGGGCGCGTTTGCCCCCAAACATTAATTACCAAGGATTTGATTTAATTTTTACCCGTTCTCAATATATAATGCGAATCGGCCAGTCCTCATCTCTGCGGGCTGTTTGGCTCCATGTTTAAGTGTCTAGCCTAGGTAGAAGAAGAAGAAAAGATGGTTCACGTTGATGATGATAACCCGCTGTCCGTCCTACTAATATTTTGACCGGGCCTCTTTGGTCTCTTGAAGCATGCAAATTCGTTCTTACTGGCATCTCTGAGCTTCTTGAGAACAAGTCGCATCTCGGGCAGCTCGCTCTGCAATTTTGCCCTTGCGTCATTGTCCGTCCTGCTGTCGAGCTCCTGGTAGATCTGGCCTTGGAGCTCGGACGTCCTGTCAGTTGTGTAGTGGCTCAATGTCTGAGCGATGAACTCAACGTCGAGGGTGGCCTGCATGAGAGCCTCTAGAGGGTAGCGAGGTCGCTTGCGGAAGGCCTCGAGCAGCTGGGTTGATGTTTGCTCGAGGAGGAACGAAAGGACCTGGGGGGTGAGAGGTGCCGCGGCGGTGGAGACCTCTGAATGGATCAGGACGAGCGTCAGGAGCACTTCGTAAACGTAAGGCTTGGCCGTTGCCGGCTTGGTAGATGGGGGCGGGGCCCAGTCGGGCTCAGCCAGGCCTTCTTGGATGACCTCCCGGAGTCTCTCGATGGCCTTTTTCGTATATGACTGGAACAAACGTGCATCGATCTGGCCGAGAACATCCTTGATTGTTTTTGACTCGTCGGTCAACTTGACGGAGAAGGCATTCTCAAATTGCGAGTTAAGGCCAGGGACAACCTGCGAGCGAAGGGCTTGGAGGTTGCTTAAGGTCAGTAGCATGCGAATATTCTGTTTCAAGTTAGCAAATCTGGACTCCCCAAGCAAGTAGAATGGGACTCACCCTGTCGCTTGAGTCAAGCGTGCTTCTGCTAGTAATTTCCGTATTGGCCTTTGCAGGCGCCCAGTAGTCATCAGTGAGCCATTCATCATCTGTCTTCGCCAGAGACCTTTCCGCGTTCTCTACCATGCCGCTCAGGGCTTTATACAATGTGGTGACATACTGGCCTCGTACCATCTGAAGAAGCTTAGTTGGCGGAGGGGATATAATATTTCCAGCACCCGGTTTTGACATGGCCTCGGACACGTATAATATCTTTTGCATCCCCATGAGTAGGGTCCCCTCAAAGGTTGAGAAGCTTGAGGGCATCCGAGTCACGTCACCAAGCTCAGCAGTACGTTGCCAGTCTTCGACATATTTGATGTTCTCGGCGTCACGATTCCATGCGGCACAAAGCGCTGCCACACATCGTTCCCGTGAGCCTCCTACCAGAGCTTTAAGTCTCTCGGTTACTTGCCCATCTCCAGAAGCGACAGGGCCGATACTAGCCATATCGGACGCCCCAGAGCCGACCAACGCAAGCATCTTTGACAAGTACCATGATCCACTCAGGGAATTGGACCAGGGAGGCCAGAATGCAAGCTTCTCCCAGGATTCGCCTCGCTTTGGGGAAGGGGGTGGTAGGTTGTTGGGGTCTACTTTAAATCGGGGATCGTGGACACTGGGGCTCAGAGCGCCCGGACTAAGACCTCCCGGGGTCAATGCGTTTGGACTCAACGCTGATTTAGGAGTAGGGGGTAGATTTGGCGTTGTTGCACTCGAGGGCGAGAACAACAATGTCAAGTCCTCTGGTGGTGGCCCCATGAAGAAAGCAGCTAAAAGCTCCCGTATCATCTCAACTAACTCCACTGCACCCTTTTGCAAATCTTGAATGACTGAAGACGAGAGTTTATGATGCACTCGGGACTCGCCATTGTAGCCAACTGGGAGGTTCTTCTGTGCCCTTCCACTGATGAAGCCCTCGACTGTCTGCCAGAATTCGACTACTTCTCCAAGAACGCCTTGCGGTGAGACCAAGTTGGTCAAGAACGCCAGCATCTTGTCCCATAACTCAATTACATCGACAGAATCGCTTGACTTTGGCTTGTCATCAGTGGTCTGGCGGCCCAAAGACCTGAGGTGAGCTGCCACAGCCTGCGGGGTAGGCTTTTCCGCAGCGCCCAGCCTCCTTCGAAGGACCTCAATTTCAATCTTGGATCGCTCAGTTGTGACCTGAATCTTCCCTTTGAGATAATCATAAAGACTTAATAACCAAACCCAAACAGGATTATCGGACACGCCCAGCTCGAGGAGAAGTGAGATGAGGTCCATATGCTGCTCATGGAATCGGCCAGCGATACCTTCAGATTTAGCAGTTGTATGTAGTGAAGTCAGTTTCTTCCATACATCTCTCTTCAGCAACTGAATTTGATGATCAACGTCGTGCCACATTCTGGCAGCGAGTATGACTTGATACAGTTGTTTGTCTTCAAGTTTAGCGCCCGGGTTGTCTGCGATCTTGCGAGCAGTATCGGCAAACTTCCTGGCCTTGTTGTATTCCTCCACTAAAGACTCATAGTCTTTTCGCTTAATGCTGTCAGAAATTGCCGAACTCAGCTCAACATATTCCTTAAATTCTTCAAGCTGAGAGGAGATGGTCTTGAGGGTTTCCTCCTGTTCTCTGCCTCCCAACGCAGGACCCCATACATCCTCAGCCTTTGCAGATACATCAAGCAGTGGAGTTTTGATACCCAAGAGTCCGTATTCACTCTCTTTTGTCAAAGCATTCTTTTTCCGAGAAGCAATATTGGTAGGTGAAAGCAGGGGACTGCTGGGATAAACTGCGCTATTCCGGCTTGCACGTCGAGAATGCCGCCCTTGAGCTTGAGGCGGTTCGGTGCCCCGATATTTCATTTCTTTATAGACGTTATCAATGGTGGCCTTGGCCTTGACGAATCGCTCAAAATTGGATTCTACGAGGACCTTCAGAGACGCAGACTTCTGGTCGATGGAGTGCGAAAGAAAGTCCAAGCCTCGAAGAAGCGACTGCGTGTCAGCGGTGGAATGCATCTGCGACAGGAAAAGCGCAGGCGAAAATGTCGTCGAAGACAACAGGAATCGGTTCCCTGGGACCTGGTTAACAATCATCGGATAGACTCCCTTGTGGCCGAATCTACCTACGCAACCGGGGGTCATCCTGCATCGGTAATCCCATGTGCTTCAACGTCCTCACAACGCTGTCGGTGGACCCAAGAGGATCTGGCTCATCTTTCTGGACAAGATTGCTCACTCCTCCAGCACTTTCAGACCCAGGAATAAAGCTGATTCTGCTCATGCGATCATTGACTGCTTTCTCCAGCGCCTGGTATCGCGACTTGCGCCGCCTGGGCTTCTTGTAATCTTTCTTGTCGTCATCGTCCTCCTTCTCGTTGTCCGAATCTTCCTTGTTCTTTTCATCGGGCCATTCTGAAGGGTACGGCGTAGAAATCTGATAGAAATCCAAGATCGTGCGGTCGTACTCGGTCGCCATCGCTGCGGAGGAGAAGAGGGATGCGGAGGCGTTGAATCAAGTTGTGCGACACACACTATGATGGGCGGAATCGACCCATCAGCGAGCTAGATGGAGGCGGCCACAGGAGCTCGGGAGTGGGATGGCAAGCAATCACCGGCCACGCACGTAGATCGCAAGGAGGTTGCTGCAAGCTGTTTCCATTAACCTCCAATGCAACCCGATGGAGCATTCCCGATTTAGAACTAGTTTCCAAGCTGCCGTTGTGCCTGATGAGGTTGGGGCCAGCTAATGTCTAACCACTAGATCAGTGGGCCCAGGGAGGAGTGGCGCATTGCATCGAAACCGAAACTGACCCCGCCCAGCCACAGGGCAAGCCACAATTCATGACGCAGTGGGTGCCAGGGCAAGTGCAGGGCTCGGTTTTTCTTGCAGTCGGCGCAATGAGACGGATTACGACGGCTCCGAGGCCAAGGGCGAGCTTCCAGAAGGAAAGCCCCACACTGTTACACTGCAGCTTCCCTGTGCAGCAGTAGCTTTACTGCGACAATCTAGCATATCGCTTGGCCCAGTGTCACCCGCGCCGTACCGAACAGGCTGTTGTCCGACCTCCAAAACTTTTTTTGAGTTCCTGGATCCACGCTTGGATTCTTCCTCCTCCTCTTGCTTCCTCTCTCTACTCTTTTGTCTATTTTGCTTGCGTTCGAGGTCCGGTTCTTTTTTGTTGGTGTTGCATCTCTCCTCATCATTAGACAACCCTCAGCCACCATGCTCTCCCTCCGCGCTTTCTCCAGCCCTCTCCCCAGGCAGTGCCTGCGTGCGGCTCCTCGCGCTGCCGCCACCTGGTCCATCTCTGTGAGGCAGACAATCGCATCTTGGCTCGAATGCCTCTTTTGCTAACCAATGCGCAGAACCAGCGATTCTACTCTAGCGCCGGCGACCGTGTCGCCAAGTACGAGGGCACCAAGGACTCCAAGGTTGGTCTCATCTTCACATGCCCGCCGTCGCCCTTATCGATTGGCATCCCTACCACAGGCATAGCCGAACGAAAATCACTCAGGCGATGATACTCCCTCAACAGATAAATGCAAACATCAAATTGTCATTGGAGTATGTACTAACACAGCGCGCAATTAGGGTAACTACCTGGTGAGCTTCATTGAGGGTGATGGCATTGGCCCCGAAATCGCCGTTTCCGTCAAGGACATCTTCGCCGCCGCTAAGGTTCGTCATGGCGCACCACAACCACCCAATGCCACGGTGCTAATCTTCAACCACAGACCCCCATTACTTGGGAATCCGTTGATGTCACCCCCATCCTCAAGGATGGCAAGACTGCTATCCCCGATGCCGCCATTGAGAACATCAACAAGAACAAGATTGCCCTCAAGGGTCCCCTCGCTGTAGGTAGCCTAACATGTGAAAGTTGGCTTTTGGGAATCACTTCTAATTGGTATTGTAGACTCCCATCGGCAAGGGCCACGTCTCCCTAAACCTTACTCTTCGTCGTACCTTCAACCTCTTCGCCAACCTCCGACCTTGCCGCTCGGTCGCTGGCTACAAGACTCCCTACGACAACGTCAACACCGTCCTGATCCGTGAGAACACCGAGGGCGAGTACTCTGGTATCGAGCACGTTGTCGTCGATGGTGTCGTCCAGAGCATCAAGCTCATCACCCGCGAGGCTAGCGAGCGTGTCCTCCGTTACGCTTTCCAGCACGCCGAGTCCATCGGTCGCAAGAAAGTCCGCGTCGTCCACAAGGCCACTATCATGAAGATGTCCGACGGTCTCTTCCTCAAGGTCGCCAACGATGTTGCCAAGGACTTCCCCAACATTGAGTTCGATGCTGAGCTCCTCGACAACACCTGCCTCAAGATGGTCACTGACCCTCTCCCCTACAACGACAAGGTCCTTGTCATGCCTAACCTCTACGGTGACATTCTCTCCGACATGTGCGCCGGTCTCATTGGTGGTCTTGGTCTCACCCCCTCCGGCAACATTGGTGACGAGTGCTCCATCTTCGAGGCCGTCCACGGTTCCGCCCCTGATATCCAGGGCAAGGCTCTCGCCAACCCTACTGCGCTGCTCCTTTCTTCCATCATGATGCTTCGTCACATGAGCCTCAACCAGCACGCCGACAAGATTGAGAAGGCCATCTTCGACACTCTTGCCGAGGGCAAGGCTCTCACCGGCGACCTGGGTGGCAAGGCCAAGACCCACGAGTACGCCCAGGCCATTATCGACAAGCTGTAAATAAATCAAAATGGCTTTTTTAAAATCAAAAACGACCCACCAAAAAACGATACCAGATTTAGGGCCATGCCACCGCGATTCCTTGGCCCCTCTATCAACCTCCCGGATGGACCCTCCATTTACCGTCTTAGTTTATATCATATCATCATCGTTGTTTAGATCTCATTATTCACTCAGGAGGCCAGGTGGTGTGTGGCTGCAGTAACAATGGATGGTAATTCTGGAGTTGGCATACAGATCAATAAGAAGTTTTTTTTTTTCCGTCTGCCGCGGACACACGGCTGGTGGGCTGGAGAGCTGGGCACTCTTGACGTGAAATGGCTGGCATTGGAGACAACTGGGCCAAAACTCGGGACTAATGTTTCACGGATCGGATGATAGACTGTACACATTAGTGAACGGATGTAGAAAAGAATTTGGACACGAGTCACATGAATTGCGAGATTTCAATGTGAGAATAGAGTGATAAATTTGAGAAGAATAGATTGCTAGATTGCGCCCCTAAATCCTAGGCCGAATATGCCGTTTTCCTTTGTCGTCCCATGCAAATTCATTCGTTCGGTGTGCGTTGAGAGCCCGAACCTGATGGGGTATAAAGTCCGTTTTCCCGTCGTAATCGTCAACATATCATATCGTCATGCACCGTCCATCATTGGCCTAGCCTTGCCGGTCCGGCTCATTGCCGCGACCTGCCGGAATGCCCGACCCTGCGGCGTTTCCGGGTGGGTAGTGAAATACAGGAGAGAAGAGAATAGAGATACAAAAAAGAACTCCGGCCGATACCAGTGTCGTAGTGATAAAATGATACAAACTTGAGCTCAAACTCGCTAGAAATGCAAATGCCGGCAACTCCAATAATGCTTCCAACTCCAAGTGGCGTGTGCGTAAATCTTAGGGAAGAAATAAAGATAAGTATACAAGTGAAGGTTAAGAGGCGTCTCGGCCTAGGCTGTGCTTCGCTCCCCGCCGAGCCAGGCACTCATTATGACGCCTGGGCTGAAGCTGCTGCCTCGTCGGTTAGGCCGGTTTGGCCCAAACAGGCGGGGTTTGCTCCTCTCTGTGAAACGTGCCCATTTCCAGTCGTCAGGCGACCGGCAGCTGCCCAGCTGGTGGAAAGCCTGGATGACAATGTTCCAGGCCTTGTCGTTTGCTGAGTATTGGATTGTGATGTCATAATCAAGCAGGCAGATCCCGCATGATCCCGGGCTGTTCCTGCATGGCTGGAATGCTTTATCGGTAGGCGCTGTTCTAGATCTGCATTGCAGCTCGGGGACCGCTTGGTGGTACACCGAGGGGCTGCGGAGGAAAGGCATATGCTCGCACAGGCGGAAATCTCGAAAACCATGGGTGTTGAAGAACTCGTCAATACCATTTTCCGGGACCATGAAATTGTAGGTGCGGCGTATATACAGCTCGTCCTGAAGGATCTGGGCAGCGGTTGAGCAATCAATGGCTATCCCACCACGGGATATGATCTGCTTGATGCAGATTGCGTCCAAGGGAATCCCGAATTGCGGCCCGTAAAAATGGTTGTTCATGACGAGTCGAGCATGGTGATAGCCCAGATCAAAGGGATTTCCTGCGGGCGAGAATGCATCCTTCATCCCGCAAAGGGTTCCTCTGGTGTCCTGGGATTTTTCAGACCCGGATTGTGGGCCCCAGGTCTGGTCATAAGTATGCAGTTTGTTGCACCTTTGGCAGTAAGAGAAGCCTTCACCAAGCGGGTCACGCTCCAAGGTGGTGAGTAGCCCCTGTTGGTCCTCCGGACTTAGAGGCCTCTGCGTCGCCGGGAATTTGGAAGCATAAAGGCTTCGGCAGGTGAGAGACAGAGAATGAACGGACGGGGTGTCGAGATGGTCGGTAATGGAGAAGAGAACGTCAGAGGGGAGATCAATTAACCCTAGATTTGGTGGACAATCCTCTTGTGGTCCATTGAAGAGCTCAAGGGTATGTGGAAGGGGCGGTGTGTTGCAAAACCATTGCCCCAGTAAGGACTTGGTAAGAAGCTGAAAATTCCGCACCATTTTTGAATATTCAATCACTGGCACTCGACGAAAAAGTATCGAGTAAAAGTGATCTGTGGTACGGACTAATGGGATAGCTGTTTAAAAGGTCAGAAGGAGGAAGTACAACTGGAGGGGCTATTCTGAAAAAGAGGGTGTTGGATGAGCGGTGTTAATTCACCTACCTGTGTGCATCCTTTTTAGCCAGAGAAGTAGGGACCTTGATTGCAAAAAAGAAACGGTTGGGCTCGATGTTGCATGAATTATTGTCGTCAAGACAATCAAGAGTGGCTAATATGAACAGGCCAAGTTGACTTAGGTAGATGTATAAATAGGTGATATTAAGTAGAGTGCTTTGCCCAACTGGTGGGTAAACCGAAATAACCAGGGTCAAATGGCGGAGGTGGATCTCAGTTTTAGATATAGGCAAACGATATCAATAGTTCAGCAAAGGTGGTGTAGGCGGAAATGGTTGAATCGGTGTGGGTGGGTGTTGTGCGAAGGTGTCTGTATTCTTTGTGATAGGGTGTGTGTGGGATGCCAGGATACAGCAACTTCAAGATAATAAAAGTTGACCAACCAGTGATCAGAATGAAGCGGAGAGAAGGCGAAGAAACGAAAAAGAGGCCCAGCGGACTTTGGGCTCAAATAACCAAGCAGAAGGAGCCCTCGCGTTCGGAGTCAACGGTCTGGGCCCTAAAAGGCGAAGCCAAGAAGTACTAGTTTTGCAGCATAATCTCCGATACAGCATCCCACAGCGACGGTTTGCGGCTCGCCTGCGTTTGGCGTACCGAGGCCACGAGCTGAAGCAGCAATCAGACGCTACCGCAGCCTGCCGGCACAGCGGTCCCACATGGACTGGCCTAGGCGGCGGGTGTTGCGGGGGCGGGCCCAGCTCCAAGCCACAGCATGCCCAAGACACCGTCTAGATGCAGCCGTTGCCTTTTGGGGGGTCGTCCTATCTCTTGTCTTGCACAAGCGACGGTGCAGTGCAACACAACGTGCGGGCTGGAGGGGGGTGTCACATGAGACGTGGCCCGCGAATCAACGAATGCGACACAATGGCTGTGACGGTGAGGGCTGAACCACCTGATTGTCGACGACCCGACGATAAGGCAAGTTCCGTGATTTCTGGGCTTTGGCGCTTCTCTGCCGCCCAGCTGAAAACCAACCCGACGCAGGTCTCAATTAACTCGTAGTAGCGTGGAGGTTGGTGAAGCCAGTTACGTAGGCAAATACCTGGTATATGCCAAGGGTACGCCAAGATGTGAATCGATATGGTATGGGTACAGAGCAATAAAAGAAGAAATGTAAATAATGGTGGGAGAGGCGGGCAGTGTCTAGCACCTATGTAGGTTAAGTCACAAGCAGAATGGCATTGGGGGCTGGAGCGGGACAGGAGGTCCTTCCTTTTAATTCCCACGATCATGAGGCCATGGCCAGATCTGGCACTCCTGATAAGCCCCGATGATGCGTCGGCGCCGGCCGGTTGGATCGTTGTCGCTGTAACATCCTCACCACCGCCAACCAGAGGGCAGGCAATCGACCTCAATTGTCGCTCAGGAGACTCGGTGCTGGGGCCCAAGACAGTCCTCGAACTTGACGTCACGGACGCCTTCTGATAACACGGTAGTGTTGGCAGTGTTGCACTATGCGACAGTCTAGGTGTGGCCTAAAGGGCCCATCCACTCGTCGTGCATCACAGCGCGCGTACGATGCCTCGACAAGAGAAAGGTTGCAAGCTTATCCGGTGCTCATTTGTCTAACCATAGGGCTTGGCCTATTCTGGCGTCACCTGCGTCACGCACCCTTGCGCCTTTCCATGGTGCATTGTACTTCTACCGTGTCTCACGCGCGTTCTAGTGAGATGAGAAGGTTTCCGATTGATGACAATGGAGTAGTACCCCCATATCCATCTTCATCTCGGATTCTCGACGTCCGGGGAGGTCGAACTGGATCATAGCCGATGTACAGGGTAGGCAGGATCTCACAGTAGCTTGTTGCATCCTCATTTACCAGCATCTCGCACTACACCAACCTACCACCAACCAGTGCTTGTCATCCGTCTTTTTCTCAAAAACCTTCAAGAAGCTGTAGCATATGCGTCACACTTTGTTATTCCCAAGGTAAAGGGTACATGTTTCTCTTACCGACACGCGTCCGCCTTCTCTATTCGAAACGCACTTGCACCAACATCCCGAATGATCAGCACCGCCAACATTCCGGTGTCTCTTGTATTCGTCATCTGTCAATACAGACCAATGTGCCCAGCCATGCAACTACTTAGTGCATGGCTGTTCATTGTCTTTCCTGGCGTTTGGAAGCGTGGCCTGTGCGAAAAATTATGTAACCTGACCCAATTGATAAGCCACACGACACGCAACACCTGGGCCTCGAACAACCAAGGTACGCTTAGGTGCATGAGCAGGATGCTGCATGTCGCAGATATATTGTGCGGTCAGAGCACGCTGCTGCGCCACCGTTTCCCGACCGAGGGATGATGATGCCGCCTAACCACCAAGCCTGCCCAGCCTTTTTTTGTGAGGTATGATGGCTACTCCTTTTGGTACCCTCTCTCCTCACCACCAATCACGGCATTATCTTGCATCGCCTTACACATTTCCAAGCCAGCTTCTATGCAGATAATATGCCAAGTTCGCCATCCGGCTGTGACTATGGACTTCGGTCGACCAGATGATCGGCTGATTGGAAATCCCACGGTCTTGCTATCATGGAAAGGGCGAAATCATGCACGCCGCAGTAATATGACCTGATGCAACGCCATCTCCCTTCCGTCCATCTAAAGATCAACATAATTCCTACTTTTTGCATGCACTTCTTACGATTCATATCTCAGGCAACAAGGCAAGGGACATGTGAGGACTCACTCATCAGATCTTTTGACTGCCGAGCCAAGCCCGGGTCACCCAAGCAAGATTCCCGCACGGTGATTGGTATTTATTGGCCTCTGACAAACAGACTGACGCGAGCGAAGTG